TCTGAGTGCAATCTGAATCTGAAACCTAAAGTTTATTTATACGATTTTTGAATCGAGCAAATGAAATGGTAAACAAATGGCAAGCCGTTTAGAATTGTGTATATTCTTGAAAACCATTTCATTTATATCATTCATTTGCCAGTAATTTATTACTACTAATTTATTATTACTAATTGAAGACCAAACATGTTAAGCTGAACTTAACCAGTTAATTATAGATCAAATATATAGAACTATATTATATAGCTTAATTAGAAAATGTTTTTGACGTCAGTTTCTTTTTAAGTCATTCGAATTCATTAAACTCTAATATTAATGAGGCACATGAAGTAGACACATGTATATAATGCAATCAGCACACTCTACTCAATTAACATTTTTAGTCAATTTATATTAATTTTTGTAAATTAAAAAATTGGTTTTGAAAGGGTAATAAATTAATCATTTTATATTGTTATAAATTTTAAAAGAATCAGGTATTCAATTATCTCTTCACAAATGCAACAATCCTGGTAATCACCGGAATTATTATTTAGAAATTTTATATAAATGTATTTTGAGGATCTAAACTCTATATAGAATATATTATTATTAAGCAAGTTGAAAATTTTTAATGAATTCAGACAACTATTATTGATTAACCGATTGAGTCATGAGAGTTTAATAAAAACTACGTAGAGTTAAATAAAGGAAATAATACTATAAAACCAGTTGAACATGAAACGATTATCATATAGACTGACTAGTCATTTGCGAGCATTTAAAAACCTTAAACGTGCTTAAACACTGCCGTAATCAACTGTTAAGTTGTTAATTTCAACTTAAGCTGCAAAATTACAACTTGCAAATGTTGCAAAAAAACAAAAAAAAACAAAAAAAAAAACAAAAAAAGCGCACTAATCATGTCAGAGGTTAACAAACATTTGTTGGCCCAACCACAAAAAAAAGAGCGACAGCCAAGTGAATAATGCGTCTGACTGCCGCAAGTCAAGCTGAGTAAAATATGTGCAAGTACAGTGCATACCCGCTATAGCGATCAGCGTGACGTTTACCTTGAAAATAGACGAGTATAAACGTATCTAAACTGTGATTGTTCATCAAGCGAGCTTTCACTGTAGCTCTGCGTGTGCACATATAGTCTCACATGTAATTTATATTGAATTTATCGCAACAATTTTGAAATCAATTTGAAGCATTTCTTTTATCGCTGTTGTTGCTGACATTGTTTATTGCCATTGTTGTTGTTGTTAGCGGTTACTATTGTTGTAATTGAGTGGCTCGCTCAGCGCACTAATTACCTTCAATTGATGCTTAATAAGTGAGCATGTCTCCATTTGTATCTTTCACCCATGTACAAATCTGCAAAACTAAACTAAACTAACTGAAAATGCCAAATGATAATTTAGTTAATGGAAAAATTAAAAAATCAAGGATGCATTTTTAAGTCGAGTGCCACCAACTGCATAATACTTATTCAGAGTCCGAAAAAAATTGAATAATTTATGGTTTGTTTTCAAATTGTATAGCTCTGGGCCCAAAAATTTTAAAGATGTAGTAATTTACCATAGCGCATTTAAATATTATCATTATATTATTGCTGTAATCTGAAAGAATTCCAAATTAGCCACGCTCTTAAGGAACTGATCATATTATTTAATACAATAGCGGATCAACAAAACTGGCGAGCCAAATTGCGATAATCCAGAGTCTAAAGTAGTGGAAGATACAGTTTTATACAATTTGACACGCTGTTAAATGGGCATAGTTATAGATAGATAGAAAATTTACCAAAAAACTACACCCCTAATTGGCGCTTTATAAAAATTCTTCTTAATCCGAATTTCAAATATGTAGCTTCAAACCAATATACCCCTGTTTCACTACCTTAACTAGATAGTTAATCTATCAAGACAACTCTCCCACGAGGCCTGTTTATAAAGTCAGCTCATCGCGTCGTAGTCTAGCATTAAAAACATTGCATTAACTTAGAACTTCTGGTAATATCTGTCAGTTGATACGATTTAATGCTGCGGGATCTTTTATTATGCGCAACACGTAGGCGGAGGCAGATAAAACTCTGTTAATTGTTTTCATTAGTCATAAAAGAAAACAGGAACTGTCACAGTTACAAACGCAGTCACAGTCACAGTGACTGGGTTGGCAAATGAAATTTGCACATATTTACAAATCATACAACGATTGCAAGATTTACTACCATATCATCATGACAGCCAGGTTCTTCACGTACTTTTGCACAGTTCATCAGAGGCGGCAGGAGACAACAGTTGATCATTAGACAACATTTGGAATTTGTATTCTAATGAAATGTTTAATGACTCATTTATTAACTACGCACATTTTACAGTTTGACAGTCATGCGATTTGATTTGATTTCAGTTACGTTTGAGTGCGGAATTCATGTATAATTTTTGTATTTTATACATGTTTTTTACACTTTTGTACAGATGACAATCTCTAACGTTTTCTCATATGTATATGCGTGTATGTGTGTATGTATAATAATAAGTTTTGGCACGTTTAGCTTAAACATTCTCTTTTGCCCAAGATCTCAGTCTGCAGCAATCTTTTGATCACTTATGAATGCCCAAAATCACAGTTGGCTGTCAATGTCAGTGCGTTGTTGTGTTTATAAATTAGCATGCCAGGCGAGAGAGGGCACCCGGCCACGCCCGCGCCCTGCAACTGCGCGGATCCTGTTCTAGACAACACGTGCGTTTGAATTATTTATAGAGAGTGATTGAGTGAATGAGTGAGGGTGTCAGTGAGTGAGTGTGCCTGTGTGTGTGCGTGTCTGTGTGTGTGTGTGTGGGTGTGTGAGGTAGTGAGCAAATAAGCCATGTGCAAGTGAAGCACTCGGACCATGGACTGAGTGCTAAACATATTTATGTTTGGGGAATTTTCTCGCCGTGCTAAACAAACCTGCAGAACATTGACCGCTGACTGTTCTCAGAATACACTAACAAAGCTTATACATTAAATTTCCTGTGCAATTTGTAACAGATAGAGTGAAAAACTTAAATGTTTACATGCCCATTATTTTTATGCCTTTCTATCTCTGTTGAGTTTGAAAGTAAATATCACTTTATATATGTGTGTATATAATATTTATATCTCAAAATGAAGGAAGTGCTATAGACATACTCCTTCAAGGCATTTTCCTTAGCTTAACAATTGTATTTATTAATATACATACATAATATACATATCAGACAGATACTTTAGGTAAGAAAAAGTAAGAATTTAATTATATACCCATTCAACTTTTGCCAAATGCCCAAATCAACAAACTTTTCAGACTACCTTCAATTGCTCTACCGTCTGTCTTTTAGAGTATTCATTTTTCAACACCTCGAATCACCATACCTGTTATTTTTTCGTTACTCTGCCGATCGGTCGTGGCGCAAGCTTTAGATCTTCCAGTGACGATCTGTTGTCAGCAGACGGCGCAGCCTACAGGGTAAGCCTGTAAATTCGCATGAAATGTGATCTACGTGCGTGGCATTCGAAGAAGATGGAAAAAGAATCACGCGGCATAGCGTAAATATTTTGCATTTGTAACCATTTGAAAGCGAAAATTTGCCTCGATTCAATTGCCAGCAACAGACTATAATATGCAATTATTAACCAGAAGAGATCTGCCCCTTACGAACTCTCGCGTCGGGGCCTTGTGTTTGTATAAAAAGTTCTGGCGGAAAAATCCCAGGAACCCAGTCGTAAAGACATGCAGCGCATACCTTAACAAGCCATTAAGGATTTTAATCAATTCTGTGCTTAAATTAGCAATACGGAAGTGAACATCGAACTGAAAGTGAATCAGATTGATAGACCGCAGAAAAGGGCTGTGCTAGCCATAAAATATTCTACGATCCTCCCAGCTCCATCATAATAAATGCTTGAAAGTTGTTCCAAAAGTTGTTTAAGACATGGCGATAACAATAACAACTATAACAACAGCCTCCGGCTGCACAACAACAAAAGACATAATGTGACATCGAGCTGGCAGGCAGGCAAGACAGACAGACAGGTAAAGCAACCAGGTAATCAGTTGCCCATCAGTGGCAAAAGTCAAGTCCAAGGTTGTGCATGGAGCCCAGGTTAATTTGTGGCGGGATTTTTTCATTACTGCTTTGTTGTTGTTTTTATTTTTTTTTTGCATTTCATAATGTAAGCAATCTGTTAACGCTGGCCTGTTGGCAATTACAAGAGCTGCTCATATCTCTTAACCCTAGAATGTTGTCGACTCGTAATAATGTTACTGCATGGAATATAATGATCGTGGTAATTTCAACATGCAATCTTAATTTTTAATTACCACTTTTTGTTGTTCTCTTTGTCTTTACGAAGCTTTCAAGAAATACATATATATTACAGTTTAACAGACATTCGAATTGAACTTTCAGTAAAGTACATAAATATACATGTAAGGTTGACATAATGTAATCAACTCGCCATGTCAAGCGGCTGGCATGCAAAAAAGAACATAAGAAATGCATTGCAGCCCTGATTAGCTCGATCAATGTAAACAAAAGTCAGCTGTTGAGCGGCACAGAAAAAAATAAGTACCATGCAAATGGATCATAAAAGAGAAAACAAATACTGCAAACTATACTCAAAAATTGTTGACTGGCACATTCTTTTGCCATAACTCAGATCTGTTTTGCTAACCGAAATTTATATGGGTTAACTTGCAAGTTTAATACTGGCAAAGAAAAAAACTGGTATTTGTTAATTAGAATTGGAAACCTGAATATAATGTACTTTGCTATAATAGTACTGTCTGTACATAACTTATGTAGTTAGTTTATCATTTATCATCAAGTTTGTTTTCGCTACTTTTGCCTGTATGAGTATTAGATTTCTGATTGCTTTATAATATTTGGCAATGCGATATTCGGCACAGTGCTGCCAGCCTGTTCAACAAATCAACAATAACAGTTGCAAAAGAAGTAATAGCACAAAACGTATGTGAGGAAACTTACCAACAATTTCAGTGTTCGCTATTGCCGCCACTGCTGATCGGTGCTGTGCTAGTGTTGGGGTTGCTGCTGCTGCTGTTGCTGCTGCTTCTGGGGGCCGCTGCTCCTGCCTGCAGTCGATTGAAACTGGAACTGAAAAACCGCAAAAACCACAACACAAATAACGCACGGACAAGGTAGAAATAACTATATGCTCATATGTATGGCTGAGTGTGCAAACATACGTAAATGTTTCACAAGAACTTTGTAAAAATCGCAAAATCTTTCGCAATTGGCTAATGAACTGCTAAGCGGGACTGTTGACCGAGCGTCCGAGACGTGCTTAAGCTAAACTTCTGAATCAAACTGAGCAAAAATTGAGCGATTCGGCTGTTAAACGCGCAATGCGACGGACGCCACTGCGCAGTCACTGCGACGGCGACGTCGAGACTTGCGATTTGTGACGCCAGCGCTGGCTGCGCTGCCGAAGCTGCATAGCGGCAACAGCAGCAGCAACAGCTGGCGAGCAGGCGCAGAACTTAAGCCGAAAACTTTTGAAAAGCTTCTGGATGTGGAAACGTACGACACAACAACAACAAAAACAACAGCAAAATGCATAAATGCACAGCGCAAAAAAAACACTGAAAACTTTCCGTAATGCAACTACCAGTTAAGTTAGTTATCCCGCCCCTCACCCAGCCCCAGCGGCCCAGCTCAAGTGCACATGGGACAGTGTAAATACACGCTAATTGCTTTGGCCCAGGGTGCGCTCCTGTTCTCGACCGAACTGGCAACTAAAGTTCAAGTGAACAACAACAGGTGGCGCACAGCGTAACGTTCGTCAAGTGTTTGATCAGACCAATCAACCCAAGCTACGCACTTAACCAGCCAGCAGGTCAGCTTCTAGCGATTATCTAATAGACTTGGAGTATGACGCAGTGTAATGCTGCATTAGCATTAGCATTAGCATTCGCGGCAGCTACTCCACCCGCTCTCGTGCCGCAAATGTTAACTGGGCAAACTGCGGCCAAAGCGACGCGTCGCTTGACAAGTTGCGTCGTCAAGGTCAAATAGGGAGTTAAATATTTGCCAGCTGCCGCCAACAATTACACTTGTGTTTGCCAATAATTAGTATATGAAGTAATCATTAATTTTTATGTTAAGCCAACAAACTAATGTTTTTTATTTTTCTGACAACTTTTACTTAATTCAGCTCCTTCACTCGAGCGGCCAGTCAAGCACGCTAAATAACCTACGCTGTCTACCCACTTACCCATCAGCCCATCCCGATTGCACTTTAGTGCAACGTACATCCCCCGTACAGTCCCCCAGCTAGACGCCACGAGCTGTGAAAACGGCAGCATCGTGGAAATTCAACAATATATGCACATTTCCGATTTTTATTGACTTGATATTGACGTGTTAATCGATTTGTTTGTATTTGCTTATTTACTGCAAGTCATCAAGTCCAGCAAGGCAGCACCCGCACAGGTTAGACAAAGGTGCACTTGATATCACCCACTTGGTGTTGCTTGTCACGCTGCAGGCAATCAAATCATCTTCAAACTTGGGTAATTGTACTTCAAACTTGGCACATTCATAGCTTGACATTTGGGTCCAGTTGAAACGTAGTGTGAATACATTTTTACAATAATAATTGTTTAATGATAGTGTTTTGAATGATAGCTAGGGTATGCTCGACGCATAAAATACCCTGGTCAAATTATACACTAAATTAATTAGTTTGGGGTTTCCCTTCGATTGGCAATTATGTTTAATGCCTAAAACTATGCACTAAAATAATAATTTAATATATAATAATTTTTCAATAATTTATATAACATGGTGATCTACAATATATTATATGTATATGTATAAGCTAATATTAAATATGTAATACCCAAAATATATATACATCATATTCTATAAGGCATCTATAAGATAACAAAAGTTATCCCATTAAAACATACAGAAATTTTGGACAAAATCCAAAGAGCTTTAACAAAATAAATCTATTTGAAATGAGTAAAAAATATCTAGGCAGTCAGTCATAGCTTGACATTAACATCCTACAGCTAACTAAATTCTTGAAATATAATTCAATATAAATACCAATTTTAAGTACTTCAAAGTTCTTAAATCCTTCTCCCCAATCATAATAAAAACGCAATTTTTGTTCATATTTCTTTAATATAAATTAATAAGCTTTTTTCGCATGTTTTCCATAGTTTTTGAACTTGTCAGCTTAAACCACAACTTAACAAAGAAACCAACGCACAGATTAACAGACTGTAGTACAAATAACTTCTAAAACTCGTTTTAAACATTTACAAAACCAAAATACATAGATTAACAAATATACAAAGAAATTAACATATATATAAATATACGCACATAAGCCACACCGAGAATTTAAATATTTTTAAAAACAATATATGAATCATGAACTTAAACAATGACGTATCAATGATTTTGCTGTTATTGTTAGGAGTGTGCATTAAATTTTTGTTTGTTTCATTAAATTTTAAATGGGGTTCAACGCCGAACCGATTGTCTGCTCCTTTAGCTGTTTCGCACTTAAAGTCTAAAGCTATTCTTCCATAATGTTTTGTTGTTTTTCGCAGCATTTGCATTTTGTGCTACCCTTCTTAAATGTTTCTTGTTTGGTTTTTTTTTCTCTCTTTTTCTTATACGCAATTGGCTAGCTAACTACAACATCGCACTATATATAGGTTTTTATCATTAGACCATTTACAAAATATTGCAACAAATATTTTCTCCAACTCTCATTATTCAAAAACAAGCTACAAATAGTTTAACGTTTAAGTTTAAAGCAGGCTTAAGAGCATATTTTCTTGTATCTTTTATCGTTAGGTTGACGTCTCATTATGTTATCCAAAATGGTCATATAAAAGTTAATGCCTAGCATGTGTATACATATGTATATATGAGTGTGTATGTGTGTGTAATTAATTATATATATATATATGGTTGTGAGTGGGTGGTGAATGCCCTATCGTATAGAAATGATATATGTTGACAATTTAACATACGTCACAAATTTGGAGTTACAAGTTGAGTTTACAAAAATATTTTTACAAAAAATATGTGTCCATTTATGTAGGGGCGTGTTCATATACATATAATATGTGGGAGTAATATGTTTGATATTAAACAGTTGATGTTGTTTTAGTTGTTATTTAGTTACTTAAGCAGTTTACATATTCTTAATCTACTTGACGGCTTCGGCTACAGTGGGTGCTGATGGTCTTGTTGGTGGAGGGAGTGGAGGTTCCCTGGTTCTGGTTCTTGGTCTGCCTACTTATATATGTATATATGCATATTTAGTATATATGAATATATAATAATATATGTGACTTCTCATTAAACACTAACATCTGGCTTGCCTTTACATAAATATATATTTATATTATAAATTATTAAAATCAGATAATGTTTTATTAATTTTTTGTTTCTTTTCTTTTGTCGCCAATGGTCATAATTGCATGGATGCATTTCTATACTGCCCTTAGCCTGTTACGATCTGCTCGTTTCGCGATCGGATCTGGTTCGGTTACACGCTAAACACTTAAAATTAATATTATGAATATCATCGTAGTAGATCTTAGTAGTAGTTATTTGACTTTGCGCTGGTGCAGACTAGAGCTACTGCTGTCCGGATTCAAGATGGCATCGTTGGTTGAGAGTACGCCCTCCTTGAAGTAACCATCCTTAAAGCCATTCGCAAGCCCGTTGCTATTCACATATTCATCGTCCAAAACGGGCTGCAATTGACCAATTGAAAATAGATGCAATTAATTTCAGTCGATGCTTTACTTTGTCACTACTTTATTTATTTTATTATTATTATTATTTTTTTGCTGAGCACGTGCCCCCCTTGCAGTCTTATTCTAAGATCTCTAGCTAGAGTTCAAAGCGCTGTGTGCCTTGCCAATGGCCAGCAGCCAATATGATTGGGCCTTCGCATCCGGCTTCGCATGTTCTCGCTAATTGAAACGTCCCCCGCGTAGTGTTGAGAGTTCGCAAGTGTTGTGCGCGCGCGTGTATGAGTGTCTGTGGCTAGGTGTGTGTGTGTCTAGGTGTGTGTGAGTGTATTGTTTGCTTAACTAAGCTAGTTAGAATTTTGTAGTTGATAATACAACTACGCACTTGAATGTATGTGCTAGAGATGTGCTATCTAACCTTTGTCTTACACAAAAGACTCCAAAATCTAATCTAAAAAAAAATTTTATCTACTTTGTTTCTTAAGTTTCTATTTTTGTTACCGATAAATTCAAAGTGTTTGGTAAACTTTTTATATTCCAATAATTTTTCCTATACAACTAATTTTATTTATTTTTGGATTTTTTTTATTAAATTTTTAAAATGTAATTTTTAAAAAATTGATGTAGATTATTCTTTGAGTTTTTCCCACATTTTGGTTCATACTTTTTGCCAAAGCTCTTGATATTGAATTTCTTATCATATTTATTACTTTAAAAATTGATTGAATTAACGAACGGGTCGTGTCACGCACGATACACGATACGCACCCAACTCTAGTATACACACACAGACACTAGACTGGACATCTTACCCGCCTCACCAGGGGGTGCCAGCACTTGGGAACGGGCGTCGAATTGTGTGTTTAGCCACGGCTAATAACTTTCAAGGGCTACTTGATTTAATGTTGCTTACCTACGCCACACGTTTGTTTATGTATTATAATTTTTTTTTTTCGTATTTTTTTGTTTATGTCATTTCAATCTGTTTGTTTTCTTTATTTTGCAACTGCAAAAAATTGATAGCAGTGGAACTCACCATACAGGCACCCTTGTTGGTGCCATTGGCAGGGAGCAGGGCATCTCCGTTGCCTAAATGCTTGACTTTGCCATTCGTGTAGACGCCATTGGCATGGCCATTGACTTCGACTGCCTCGCGGCGGCGACGCTTTGCATTCAGATATTTAGCCTTGTAGAAATCAGAGAATAGGAATAGGAACATCACGCCGTGCAATCCAATCCAGACCATGAAGCCCTTGGGATAATCACAGTCGCGGAACAAAAGCTGGAACTGATGCGTAAATATGGCCACAAATTGCACCTATAGTAAATAGAAGAAAAATTGGCCAACAGATCAGTTAAGTTTTGGATTAAAATGAGAGCTAAACTTCCATACCATTTGGAAGGTGGTTAGGTATTTCTTCCACCAGATAAACTTCTGATACTTTGGACCCATGGCAGCAATCATATAATAGAAATACATAACAATATGTACAAACGAGTTGAGCAGGGCAAAGAAAGTACTGTGACCACCTGTAAATGGAGAAAATAAAACATTTGATATGAGAACTTTACTATTATAGAGTATAGAGAGAGTAGGGGTGTTGATATATACCCGGTGCAAACTTAAGGCCCATCCACACCGAGAACGGCATGCAGCCGTGATGTATGACATGCAGCGTTGATACGTGCTCATTCTTCTTGCGGAGTATAAAGAAGAGCGTGTCAAAGAATTCTGTGAACTTTGATATGTAATACCACCAGCAGATATTGACCATCTACAAAGAGAAAGCCGTTGTAATATAACAATCGATTGATTTATAGAACAGTGATCGGAACCTACCCGCATGGCCATGGGACTGTTGCTGTAGTCGACGGGCTGGCATTTTAAGCTATAGTGGCCCCACCAGCCGCTCATTAAGTACTATTTCAAATAAAATACATATATATTTATATCAATTCACTTTCAGTTCTTTTTATCAATCATTCGTTGCCGTGCTCTACCTCGTAAAATATCCACGCACTGAAGATGGTCTGCACCGCATTGTAGTAGACGAGCACCTTGCGCAGATCCATCGGCTTACGATTCGCCATTAGCCGCGGCCCCAGGGATTTACTGAAATATGCATAGAAGAGGCACAGAAACAGCGTGGGCAGAGGCGAGGAGAGCATAAAGAAATTTTTGACGCGCGGATCTGCATGGATGAAATGAAACAAAATCAAAAATCAATAAATGTCCACAGTTCCCAGTTTAAAGTCTACGAACCGCTTTTGTTGTCCATCAAGTCTCTATACCAGTGCAACACATCATGCATGAGTACGTCCATGTTGTAGCTGTTATTGCAGGTGTTATAGATGCCGCGAGCTGTGGAAAAAATGACGATTATTAGTATGAGTATATCATTTAATATAATAATAATACATATATCTAAATTTATGTAAATATTAATTTAAACTTTCATTCATATATATATATATTTTTTTTCCGTTTTAATATTCTGTGTCTCATAAATACTATATCTAATTATTTTTTGCAATATCAACTTTCCTTACGAAAAAACTAATAGTTATGTATACTACTAACTCAATATCATTTCTCGACCAAATACAAAGTAGTTCCAATTGATATCAGCTTTTCTGCGTTTCTTTTGTTCGGGCATAAAAAGCAGCACACACATACATACAGATACATACACACACGCACATATGAACTTTATATAGGAAATTCACCTCTTGCATAACCTTTTGCAGTTCTAGATAAGCTTTGGTAATCAGATATTCTAAGCTTGATAATAATATCTACATATGTATGTGTGTATATTTAACATTGCACAAGTCTCTATTATTTTAATTTTGAAAATTCGAAACTAATCAAAAAATGGTATGTACAGCATACAATATATAGGAAAAAAGAAAACCCCAAATAAAATAAAAAGAAACAAAAATCAATCAAATAAAATATTTTTTAATTATTAAAATTATAATACAGGGAAATACAAATAAATTTTAATAATTCGACATCCTGATCATGATATACATATGATACATATATTTCATAGGCTCTTTCCCGCCGGCATTATGTCCTGTACTTTCTAAATTCAATGAGCTCAGGGTTTCGAAATGATCTCGAATTCCAAGCAACAAAGTTTTCTAAATATGTATTATATATTATTTGCTTCTTATTTAAACATTAATTAGATCACTGTGATCTAGTGCCCATAAAAAGATTTTCAAAAAAAATCTCTAACCAAACAGTTTTATGTAGGCAAAAAAAAAAAAAACTAAAATAAAACAACCCGGAAAATTTACAGCGCCATAAATAAACAATATAAGTTGGTAAAAATAAAAGTGAGGCTATTAATGAAAGGCATGAAATGTTTAAGGAAGTCAAATTGCCATGACAAATCAAAATAAGTGTTGTTGCTGCTGTTGGTGTTGTTGTTGTTGCGTCGAGACTATGTAAAACCCCAAGTTAATTACAACAAGGAATACAAATTGACTAACGCTAATTTATTCAATTGAGCGATCAATACTAATAGGTGTGAAAGGTAAGCCAGGCTCACCCAGCTGAGCCCAGCTCGTGGGCTCAAAGTACGAATCGATCAATGCGGAATTTACTATATGGATTGCACAACTTAACATTATATTATAATTTGTATAATTGGCCGTGCATTAAAACTGCAATGAATAGACAAAGAGTGTACACTATGTATATGCGCCGCAGCGGAAGCTGCGACCTCACCCAATTTGTGGGTGGCATGTGGAATTCCGTTCATTAATCGCCCTTGCTTCAAGTACAACCGACTTTGACAGCCCAGATTTGTGATGGAATGCGAGCGAATGATACATACGTATATATATGCATACATTTATAGGTCAAATGGGAGGTCTTCAAAACAAAGAAACGAATGTGTTCTAAACTTGTTTGCCAGCTAGAAGAATGAAATCGGTTTCATCATAATTTAAAACAATCTTCAACAGATAATATATTAATGCTATTGTCGTGCTAATGAATAAATAACTGTTTCAAGATCAACACTAATAAAGAACAAATTTGAATTTTAAATTATTTAGATTTGAAAAATGTTTGCAATTTATAAATCAGGTTTTGGCAAATTGGATTGCAAATTTATTTTGTAGTTTAAACTGAACAGAAGCAACAATTAAACATCAATTCCTATCAATTTATCTTCTTAACTTTCAATATGGCAATCTATTGCTGAATTTAAACAACATCATTTTTTACAGTCGACTGCGCTAATGACTGTGATAAACACAGATAACATTTGGCCATTTAATGGTTTAGTTTTAGGTCGATTAAAGTCCGATTTGACTAGTTATGAGAAAAAAGCAACATCAACAATTATAATTCAGTTGTGTAAACAGTTATGAAACAGATCTAAAGATTGGGCTGTAAAATTGTTTTATATATGTACATATGTATATAGCTCATCAGCTGTAACAATTGAGTCCATAATAGTTAGAAATTAAACAAATTAGGCTACGTTTTGAAAGATTTTATGTAAGGCAGATATGCAAATTGAAATGGAATATGTCGTCACATAAAGCCAAACTTTTTAATAAAAAATCTTTTAGGTTTAGATCGAAAAGATATGTATGTCTTAATTCAAGCAAGCGCTTGCTAACGGGCATCTGCAAGTCTAGCATACCCTCAGCTAACGCATGTCTTACTTGCACTTGTTTTACTGCCCAAATAATTCTCAGCAATTGACTTGAATTTATAAGAATTCATTGACTTCTAAACCGGACAATTTTTTCTTTGCTTTTGTTTTTGCACATGCTCCAACGGCCTTCCACAGCTGCTGCCCCACCGAGTCCCATGACCGTGGTTGATGTCGTCGTCGTTGCCGTTGACGTTGTCTAATGCCAATTCAAAGGCAATGTACTCGTGAGCCGTGGCCACTCGAAGTTTGTTTTGAATGTCATGAGCAATGACTGGCAATGGGGCACTGTTGCTGCCGGTGGAGATGGTGGTGCAGATGTCGACGTAAGCGCCGCTTGCTCAATCGGCTCAATCGTTGACAAAAAAAAAAAAAAAAAAAAAAAAAAGAAGAAAAAGAAAAAATGTGCCGCTAGTCAGTGGGTTGTAGCTATTTTTTTTTTTCTTTTTCTCTTTTTATATGAATACCGTTGCCAGAGTCTTCAACAGTTGTCGCAATTTATTGCTGTTGTTGTCTGTTGTTTGTTGTGTGGGTCAGTGGCAAGTTTTTTTTTTAAGGCGTGCGTGCAGCAGCCTCCAAGCTAAACAACTCAATAAATTTGTTGCTGCGAATTATGAAATATTGACAAGAGAGGCGCAATTGATGGGCACGGCCAGCACCACGGTTGGTTGATCGACTGACTGATTGGTTGACTGACTGACTGATTGAATGATTGACTCAGTGACTGTTGCCTCGTCACAGTCCGTTTTGTCTCGCACCCAGTTGACAGTTCAAATTGTCAAGGTAAACAATTATGGGCTGTGGCATCGTAAATCGCGGTAGGTAACATATACAACAACAACAGTAACAACAACATCTACAACAATAACAACAACCACTGTTCATCTTGACTTACATAATAAGCCAAGAAGAATTACAACTCAAAGTGGAGCAAATAAAAATTGGCAAACAAACGGGCGGCACCGCACGCTGGGGCGTGGCGCATGCGAAAGCGACGACGAGTGTCGGGCGATGATGTTAATTTAGCATACACTACGGAGATAGGGTCGACACCAGTTTGTCGGTCAGCTAAAGTCATTTAGGTATTTTAAAAAAACATCAGCATTTACCTACTATCACTTAAATAACAACAGAACAGAATACTAGCTGGCCTTTATAACCAGCATAAATGTTGAAAATATATAAGTACATTATTATAAAATTTAATTAAATTAAATTAAATTAAATTTAATTTGCTATTCATATGGAAACTCTAACTACAAAAAAAAAAAAAAAAAAATTTTAGATTTTTTAAATTTTCATTTTATTGCATTTTTTACAAATGACTTTTTATTTTTTTGTTAAAATTTTTTTTTATTAATATGTAAATTTTTTGTTTTTAATTTTGTGAAGTTTCTTGGCAAAAATTATTATTTTTTTTTTAATTCCGTATTTTGTAAATAATACGGTTTATTTTTATCGAATATTTTTAAAGCAAGTAATTGTTCTAATTTGACGAGTTTTTTAAATACATATTATTGAACTTTTTAAATTATGATTCAAATTTTTACAAATACATATATGAAATTAAATTTTTAATTTATTTTTATAATTTAGATCTTCAATTTCTTATTTTATAAGATCAGGGAACATTCACACCAATTGAATTAAATTATATTTTGAAAATATAAAAGTTTTTTGTTTAGATTTACATATATACATTTACTGTATATGATTAAGAATTTTGTTTTTCCCTTTTGCTTTTCGTTATAAACCTATCAAAAGTTGTTTGCTATGCATTCCTATCGCTTATTTATAATATTCATAGAATTCCCCTTTTCAATGGGTGCAGAGTCTGCAAAAAATTCTCAATAAGCACTTGATAGGCATGCAAATAAAACCATTTTTATCACAAAAAATATTTATATACATACATATGTATATGAGATGACTAATCGCTTCTCTTTTATGTACTTTGGGCTTTAAAGAGAATTCGCAAGTGTATTTTATCTTCGACGCTTCACTGATAACCGTTCTTTCCTGTTTGTTAATTTCTTCTTTTATTTTTTCCTCCCTTTATTGTTTTATTTTTATTTTTTTTTTTTTTTTTTTTTTTTACTTAATTTTTTTGTTTTTTTTTTGCACATTTGCTGTGTCACTGCGAACGACGTCATCGTCATTGTCGGCGCCCAAGCGAACAATCAATGAGCCATGCAACTGGCGGCACACATAAACTACAGAGAGAGAGAGAGAGAGAGCGCAACCCTCTCGCCGCCACCTTCAGGTGGCACCCACCAACAGGGCTTGCTGCACGACGCATGCCCCACACACGGCAGACGCCTGTTGCTTCCGGCTGTGTGCAGCAGGCTCCACTGCGGGGCAATTGAATCAAAGAGAACTGGGTGTTGCAATAGGATGTGGAGCACGGCACGCAAATGTTAACATGCAGCATTGTGGATGTCATCGATGTTGTTGTTGTTGTTGCTATATTTCCCATATTAATTAGAGCACGAAAATAACAAGTGGAAGATTGCGAAACGAGCATATCAGACTAGCATATAGCCTGTTTCAAATCTATAATTGCAAACAAATAGAGCTTAGCTATGTTCATAGTTTGGTAATTCTTTAAGATTTATATTGATATACAAACTTTATTGATAGATTTCCATGTCATATTGAAGTTTTGAGTAGATGACGATCAGAG